AGAGTCAAAATTTTTAAACTTAAACTTCTTCTAATGCCACTTCTTAAAAATAGACTCGCCCGGGCCGTGGTATTTTGTGGAAGAGCCACACTCAAGGGACCAAAGAGCAGCATGTGGCTCCTGAGCCGCAGTTTGCCAAACACTGTGTTAGACAGAAGCAAATCAGGATCCCAACCCCAATGGTCTGCAGTGTTTCCCAAAGTGTGGTACACGTACCCCCAGGGGTACGGGAAGAGTTTGGTGGGGATATGCACTGCACTGTGCTTAGCTACGTTTTCATGAGTATGAGGGATACTCAGCGTTACGAAAATTATAGAAGGGGTACACATTTGTCAAAAGTTTGGGAAACACTTGTCTAAGGCAAATAAAATCCTGAATTTTGGATGAAAACACCCCTGAATCCCATCAGAGGGTTAAGTGGAGTGAGATGGGTTTTTCTCAGAAGCAAATAAATCACCCAGGCAATCAAACCATCTGATTTTATCCCCCCTAAACCCAACCCTCCTTAGCCCTCGAGCTGCAAGGAATCCAGCCAGGTTGCCATAAATCACAAGACACTAGACATGTAATTGATTGCATAAACAGCAATGCTTTTTGGTTTTAATTTTTCATTCTGGACTTGATTCCCAGCCCTCTCAGGGAAGAAAGAGCTCCGGAAGCAAGATTCCCACCCAAGATTGCTCCCCTATCCCACAGGCCGGTGTGGCGCAGGGGTTGAGCATCAACCCATGCACCACGAGGTTTGCTTCCTGATCAGAGGCACATGCTTGGATTTCAGGCTCCCAGAGGCAGCTCATCGATCATCATTGATGTTTCTATCTCTCCCTTTTCCCTCTCCCTTCCTCTCTCTCTAAAAACAAATAAAATAAAATAAACATTTTTTAGCCGAAACTGGTTTGGCTCAGTGGATAGAGCATCAGCCTGCAGACTGAAGGATCCGGATTCGATTCCAGTTAAAGGCATGTGCCTCGGTTGTGGGCACATCCCTAGCGAGGGGTGTGCAGGAGGCAGCTGATCGATGTTTCTCTCTATCCCTCTCTCTTCCTCTCTGTAAAAAATCAATAAAATATATTATTTTTTTAAAAACATTTTTTTAAAAAGACTGCTCAGCTTTCCTTCTCATTTCTCATAAGGGGAGTCTGTAACATGGGACGTTATTCCAACCTAAAAGGCTTGTTAAGAGAACCGAGGGAGACTTTATAAGGTCACATTTGCAAATGATGAGGTTCAGCATACCCTTAAAGCATCTAGCAGACTGGTGAAAGCAATACTTCACTTGCTAGATAACAAACAAATAAAACCTTGGGCCCGGTCACGGGGACGCCTTAGGAAGATGTGTTAGAAACGGGCCATGAAAACCTCTAAGTCCTCCTGCAGCTGTGCCTTTCTGAAATCCCAAAGTTCAGGGCGGAGGTACAGCTGCCGGGGAATTTATTCCCCCATAACTCTGAGCTCCCAAATCCCCGTGACGCCCAGGAGTGATATGACCGGAGGGGGCGTGGGCCTATTGGCACCAAGAGCCTCTGCATAAATCAAGATCTCCATTCCGCTGGCCTCAGGCTGCTTTTCCCAAGGTGACCTAAGCAATGTGAAAGGATGGCCACTTATCTAGGAGTGAGAGGGCAGGGCGGAGTTATCCTCCATTCTGTAATTGAACCCTAGCCCTCACCCAACCAATCAGGGTTAGCCGAGGCAGTGACATCACCACCGACCGGAGTAAAACCCCTGGACTGGGCAAAATTCGCTCTCTCTTCCGCCATGCTGCCGGCGTGAGTGGGACAGAGCCCATGCTAGCATGGAAAAGGCTCTTTTGTTTATTGCATCGGACTCGGCTCCCTGGTGGTCCTTGGGGATCACGAAGTCTGGGCGTAATAGGAGTGCCACCTGGCTCTGAGACGGAAGAACCTTGAAAATGCCAAAAGGACCAATTCTCCAGAAATCTGTCCCTTGGAGAAAGAAAACCCTCTTCCTTTACCTCAGAAGGTAACTCAGCCAGAAATCAGGAGAGTGACAGTGTTCCCGTGATTTCTGTGATTTCAGCCTAGTTGGGTGACCCAAGCAGGCCCTTGGGGCAGACTCGGGGGAGCCTTGTTCCAGAGCTGGGCCAGCCCCAGTGAAAAGTCAAGGTGACCTCAGCCCTGTCACCAGTCACACCCCCACAGCAGTCCCCCAAGGCAGCCATGTGAATCACAGAATGTCAAATCAGCTGACCCTACAGCCTGACGAGACAAACAAGGAAAGTATAGGCCAGAGCTGGGGAGGAACTTGCCCAAGGTCGCCAGCCTTGGGGGGAAGATTCAAGGTCAGACCCAGGGCACCAGGCTATTTCTCATGGCCTCCTACGCATCTTCATGAAGCCGAGTGGCAATGTAGCTGGGGTCCAGCCCAAGACCTCAGAAACCTAGCCCCACCCAACCAATGTGTCTGACCATCTTAGTTTCTCCAGTAGCATCTAAATGAGTTATGAGTGTGAAAACGAAAGAATATAATATGTGACATGTAACATATGTCAAACACAAGTGAGCAGAGAAGTGAAATATGGTAGCAATCATACTTTGGTAAAAACTGCTGTTTGAATTTTAACCTTGCTATCTGACTTCGACCTTTGATTACTTGCTTAAACAATAGGGTAGTTACAGGAGATTGACTCCCACTGACTCAGTAGCTTCAGGGGTAGAAACTATAGATAACCTTTAGAGATTAACCTCTGAGTTCTGCTTTTGTATTATGGGCAAGATAGGGCCACATTCCAATGTTCCCAGCCTTTAGAATTTAGAACAAAGGGAAATTCCTGTGGTTTGAAGCTTTAAAAGGGATTGCCTACACCTGGATCAGTGCGGTTGTGTTGAGCTGACCTGTGTGTGGTGCTCCCAGCTGTCCTGGCCAGTTTTTCAATAAATCCTTGCCTACTTTTTTTTTAATCAATCATCACTTCTCCAGTGGTCTTATTTTGAACACAGGGTTCGACCCCACAACAAGAAGGAAAAACATCCTTCTTGAAAAACACAGGTACCTGCAAAGCTAATTACCTGCATCAATGCCTGAGGAGACTGAAGAGACCACCCCTTGCCCAAGGTCATCAAGCCCAAGGAGTGAGCCAGCCCCCACGCTGACCCATTGAAGAGTCTGAAAAAAGCAGCTGAGGTGACTAAAATGGAGACAAAACACACAACTCTCTCACAAGATTGTTGTGGGATTAAGTAAGATGATGGATCGTAATGTTTACATACAGTAATTGTTGGAGAACGGTGTCTGATGTTAAGTGGCTAACCAGGGCTGGGTTCCCTCTCACCCTGCTTTACAGAAGGAGTGTATTGTAATTGTCCAGTTACTTGCCTATTAGTAAATCCAGTGAGGGCAGTAACTGTAGCAGCCTGGCACCTGGCACATAGCGACATTCCATACATTTTTTATGTGTGGGGGGGGGGATTTCGTTGATTTAAGAGAGAGAGGAAGGGAAAAGGAGCAGAAGATAGAAACATCAACCAGAGAAACGTCTGCATCAACCAGCACACTCTCTACTGGGGATGGAGCTCACATCCCAGGCATGTGCCCTGACCAGGAATCGAACCAGTGACTTTTTGGTGTAATGGTAGACACTCAACCACTGAGCACAGCAGTCAGGCTTCCATACCTATTTTTTAATATATTTTATTGATTTTTACAGAGAGAAAGGGAGAGGATAGAGAGTTAGAAACATGATGAGAGAGAAACATCAATCAGCTGCCTCCTGCACACCTCCTACTAGGGATGTGCCTGCAACCAAGGTACATGCCCTTGACCGGAATCGAACCTGGGACCCTTCAGTCTGAAGGCTGAAGATTCATCCACTGAGCCAAACCAGTTAGGGCCATACATATTTTTTTAATGAATGGATAGCACCTTTATCTGTCATCTTTGAAATGGGTTCATTCAGCAACCCTCCCAATTTCTCTGGGCATGGGACTCGGGACTCAGTGCTGAAACCTGGACAGTCTCGGGCAAATTGCCCTGTGTCTGATAATGTCTGACTAAACCCACTAAGCAATAGAGATGAATGACAGAACTGATAAATGATCATTTTACTATGTTGAATTTTTAAATATTTGAGCACAGTATTTTTGTTTATTTATATCTGTTTTTCAGAGTTTTATAGTCTTCAGCACACAAACATTACATATGTTTTATAACAGCATATTTTATATTACCTATTAATGAATACAAATGGTATTTTATTTTTAATTTCATTTTTAAAGTTTTTATTTTTAGTACATAGAAATAAAATTGATTTTTGATTGTTAAAAAAAAAGAAAGGAAGGAAGAAAAGAAGGAAGGAAGGAAGGAAGGAAGGAAGGAAGGAAGGAAGGAAGGAAGGAGAGAGGGAGAGAGAGAGAGAGAAGAAGGAAGGAAGGAAGGAAGGAAGGAAGGAAGGAAGGAAGGAAGGAAGGAAGGAAGGAAGGAAGGAAGGAAGGAAGGAAGGAAGGAAGGAAGGAAGGAAGGAAGGAAGGAAGGAAGGAAGAAAGAAAAAGAAAAGAAAGAAAGAAGAAAGAAAGAAAGAAAGAAAGAAAGAAAGAAAGAAAGAAAGAAAGAAAGAAAGAAAGAAAGAAAGAAAGAAAGAAAGAAAGAAAGAAAGAAAGAAAGAAAGAAAGAAAGAAAGAAAGAAAGAAAGAAAGAAAGAAAGAAAAAGAAAGAAAGGGCTTAAAATCCGACAGAATTCAGATGGGATGGCTCCGCCCACTCATGGCCTTAGTCACGCCTCTTCCGCCGCCAGCCCTCTCTGACTCCGCCCCCTTCTGGGAAGGTCACCTTAAAATAAAAAAAACACATGGGAGGCCAACTGGGCATGCGCCGGGCACTCGGCTCCTGCGCATGCTCGCCTCGGCCCTTTCCCCACCACCACCCCCGCCACCCGGGAAACCGGAAGCCGCTCCCTCTGGGCGGCTGGGACGAGGCTAGCGGATCCAGGCTGGACCTGGGCTCGGCGCCGCGGGCGGAGAGCGACCTCGCGGTTAGGAGCCAAGATGGCGGCGGCGGCCAGAGTGTCCTTGAGGCGCCGGTTCCCGGCCGCGGCCCTCGGCGGGGCCTGCCTGCAGGTGAGCTCCGGGGTCGCGGGGAGAGGGCGGGCGCGGAGGGCGCGGAGGGCTCGGAGGCGGCCGGGGGCTGCGGGGGAGGGAGGGCCGCTCCCGCCGGCGCATCTCTGGTGTATCCCTGTCCACTGCTGCACCTGCCGCAGCCTGTGGGCTGTGGAGAGCGAATCCGATGTTCAGAAATGAGAAGTTCAGGGACTAGAACCGCCAAGGTTCACACGGCGAGTGGCGTGACTGGTGGAAGCAGAACGCGGTTCCAGGCATCTGGGCTCCAGGCCCTTTCCTGTCACTGGACCGTCGCCTCCGCGGGGGCGTCAGGAGGGGTGGGAAGCGGGACGCGCGGCGGGGGCTCCGGGAAGAGGGTCTGGACGGGGGTCGGTAAGGACAGGGCACGGGAATTCCTGGGGACCGAGCAGGGGAGAGGGACCGGAGGGAAGGCCAGGCCCCGGAGGGTCCGAACCCTCTGCTGCTGGGGCTGCGGGAAGGCCCCGGCTCCTAGCAGCACGGCCCCTCGGCGTCGCCGTCTGTAAAGGGCACATGGCAGCCCCGACCCCGCACAGGCCGGGCCTGGAGCACATCCCGGGGGCTTCATTCCGTGTAAGTGACAGGCTTCCCCGCCGCTCTCGTCCTCAAGAAGCCTTCTGATCCGCATTCCAAATGGAAAGGAAACTGCCACTGCATACCTAAGGGACTAGGATTTCACAAACCCTCTCCGAGCCTGTCCCCTCCTCTGGGCTCCTCAGCCAGCCCCGCTAAGGTGGGCCGCAGGGACTCTTCCCTCCTTTTGAGAGATTTGAAAACGGAGGCTTCAGCAAGGGAATGGGTTACTGAGCTCAAAACGACATGGCCAGGAATTGGTAGGTCCAGGATCTAAATCCAGGTGTGTGTGTGTGTGTGTGTGTGTGTGTGTGTGTTTTAACATGATAATGTGAGGACCTCCTGGCGTAGATCTGGGCACATGGTCGGTGTGTGGGGACTGCCCGTTCCTTTCCTCTGCCTTTCTCGCACTTAGATGAGACTGGCTCTCATTTCAAGCACCTGCTCCGGCTGCATAACACCATGCACACGGCCCGTTTCTAACGCTGGCGCTTCCCAATGTGCTGTGGGTGGACTTGGACCCGTTCCTTTTATAGTCTGAGAAGGGGAAATAGGACTGTGGAGCATTAATTTGATGACTGGTGATGACCTTGTGTACCAGTCCCTTTCATAGCCGTTGAGCAAGCAGTTACGCGGTGAGAGCCCCACCAATGAGAGTGAGTTCCACAGCCCGCTTCCAAGAACACCCGTGTAGATAGGGCTAGTTTCGCAGGTCAGTGCTGTCATTCCCGTGAGGGCCTCCTGAGGGCAGGAAAACAGAAGAGTCACCATCACCCCACTCCCTTTTGTAGGAATGTGCATTCATATCCACAGAAGCCGCTGGGAAAGAATTCAGTAATAAACACGGTGTTAACGGTGTGTGATATGCAGGTTCCTAGGACGCATCCGACTTCCTTTCATGCGCTAGTCTGCCCCCTAAACCACAGTTATGCCTGTGAGGAATCATTGTTCTCTGTGTTGCCTTAGTTCTTCATTCAGACTGTGAACTCCTTCAGGCAAATACCACCTGTTTTCCGTTGTGGATCTCATGGCTCCTGGCACTGGCAGAGCTTCGGATTCCTGCCTGCCAATCAGAATAATACAAAAACTGATAATGGTGCCATTTGAAAAGGGGAGGTTATTTTCTGGACCATACTAGAGCTTGACCCCACCAGTTAATCTTATGAGATAGATTTTAACCCTGCCCTTTCACAAAAGAGGAAATGAAATCAGAGAGGTTAGCTAACATGCCAGTGAACACACGGCTTTTGGCCCCGGCCGGGTAGCTCAGTTGGTTGGCGTGTCATCCCAGTGCCAAGGTTACAGGTACGCTCTCCAGGCGGGACACAAGGGGGGATCGACTGGTGAGTGCATGGGTGGGTGGAACAGCAAGTTGATGTTTCTCTCTCTCTCTCTCTCTCTCTCTCTCTCTCTCTCAAATCAGTAAATAAATTTTTTTAAAAAAGAACATACAGCTACTAGAGCTTGGATTTGAACCTTGCCACACATTTCTGAAGCTTTGCACACATCTCCCTTCATCTCAGAAACAAGGCTGCACCTTCCGTTTTACTCAGGTTTGCACAGGTCTCCTGCCCTCCTCCTCTCCATCACACACCTTTCTCCTATCTCCCAGTCTGCATCTGCTCTAACTGGGTCCAAGCCTGCTCCTTGAGGAATCTCTCCTAAAGAACTAACAAGTAGCCGAAACCGGTTTGGCTCAGTGGATAGAGCGTCGGCCTGCAGACTGAAAGGTCCCAGGTTCGATTCTGGTCAAGGGCATGTACCTTGGTTGCGGGCACATCTTCAGTAGGGGGTGTGCAGGAGGCAGCTGGTCGATGATTCTCTCTCATCGATGTTTCCAGCTATCTATCCCTCTCCCTTCCTCTCTGTGAAAAATCAATAAAATATATTATAAAAAAGAAAGAAAGAAAAAAAGAACTAACAAGCAGCCTTCAGCATGATTCAGAACTCACTCTTCTTCTCAGTTTGGTTCAGTCCAGTTGTTACCTTCCTTCCTTAAACTATAAGCTATGAAGTTAATATTTTCCAAGATACACTCAGCCTTGAGTACTCATCAGTTTTGTAGATTGAAGGAGAAATGTGTTTTTAATAAATATTTTTTAATTGATTTCAGAGAGGAAGAGAGAGAGAGACATCAATAATGAATGACAGTCACTGATCGGTTGCCTCCTGGGAACTGAGTCTGCAAACCGGGCATGTGCCCTGGCAGGGAATTGAACCATGACCTCCTGGTTCATAAGTTGACGCTCAACCTCTGAGTCATGAAGTAGAAATGCTTTTTTTTTTTTTTTTTTTTAAATATATATAATTTTTTTTATTTTTTTTTAAATATATTTTATTGATTTTTCGCAGAGAGGAAGGGAGAGAGATAGAGAGCTAGAAACGTCGATGAGAGAGAAACATCGACCAGCTGCCTCTTGCACACCCCCTACCGGGGATGTGCCCGTAACCAACGTACATGCCCTTGACCGGAATCGAACCCGGGACCTTTCAGTCCGCAGACCGACGCTCTACCACTGAGCCAAACCGGTTTCGGCTAATAATATATTTTTTTTATTAAATTGTTATTTTTGTACATATACCAATGCCCTCCCCTCCCGTACATGCCCTCCCTCCCCAGAGTTTTGTGTCCATTAGTTGTACTTATATGCATGTATACAAGTCCTTCAGTTGATCTCTTATCTCCCCCAGATCTCCTCAACCTCCCTGCTGTAATTTGACAAGTCTGCTTGTTGCTTTACTATCTCTATATCTGTCTTTTGGTTCTTCAGTTTATAATGTTCTTTATCATCTATATAAGTGAGGTCATGTGGTGTCTCTCATTTACTAGCTTGTTTCACTCAGCATGATGTTCTCCAATTCCATCCAGGTTGCTGCAAACGATGAGAATTTTTTTTTATGGCAGCATAATATTCCATTGTGTAGATGTACCATAGTTTTTGGATCCAATCATCTGCTGATGGGCACCAAGGCTGTTTCCAAATCCTAGCTATTGTAAATTGTGCTGCTATGAACATAGGGGTGCATATATCCTTTCTGATTGATGTTTCTAGCTTCTTGGGATATATAACTAGGAGTGGAATTACTGGGTCAAATGGGAGTTCCATTTTCAGTTTTTTGAGGAAACTCCACACTGTTCTCCACAGTGGTTGCACCAGTCTGCATTCCCACTAGTAGTGCACGAGGGTTCCCTTTTCTCCACAACCTCGCCAACACTTGTCATTTGTTGATTTGTTGATGTTGGCCATTCAGACAGGTGTGAGATGGTACCGCATTGTTGTTTTGATTTGCATTTCTCGGATAATTAGTGACTTTGAGCATGTCTTCTTGTGCCTCTTGGCCTTCCTTCTGTATTTAGATCCATTGCCCATTTTTTAATTGGGTCATTTATCTTCCTCTTACTAAGTTGTATAAGCTGTCTGTAGATGTTGGAGATTAAACCTTTATCAGTGATTATCATTTGCAAATATGTTCTCCCATACAGAGGGCTTTCTTGTTGTTTTGTTGATGGTTTCCTTTGCTGTAAAAAAGCTTTTTATTTTGATGTATTCCCATTTGTTTATTTTCTCTTTAGCTTCCATTGTCCTAGGGGCAGTATCAGTGAAGAAGTTCTTTTGGCATATGTCTGAGATTTTGCTGCCTGTAGATGCCTCTAGTATTTTTATGGTTTTCCATCTTATGTTTAAGTCCTGTATCCATTTTGAGTTTATTTTTGTGTATGGCGTAAGTTGGTGATCTAGTTTAATTCTTTTGCATGTATCTGTCCAATTTTCCCAACACCATTTATTGAAGAGACTGTCTTGACTCCATTGTATGTTCGTGCCTCCTTTGTCAAATATTAACTGAGCATAGTGATTTGGGTTGATATCTGGGTTCTCAATTCTATTCCATTGATCTATATGTCTGTTCTTGTGCCAGTACTAGGCTGTTTTGAGAACAGTGGCTTTGTAATACAGCTTGAAATCTGGTATTGAGATCCCTCCTACTTTACTCTTTTTTAAAAAAAAAAAAAATATTTTATTCATTTTTTACAGAGGAAGGGAGAGAGATAGAGAGCTAGAAACATCGATGAGAGAGAAACATCGACCAGCTGCCTCTTGCACACCCCCTACCGGGGATGTGCCCGCAAGCAATGTACATGCCCTTGACCGGAATCGAACCTGGGACCCTTCAGTCCGCAGACCGATGCTCTACCACCGAGCCAAACCAGCTTCGGCCTACTTTACTCTTCTTTCTCAGGATTGCTGTGGCTATTCGGGGTCTTTTGTTGTTCCAAATGAACTTTTGAAGAGTTTTTTCTAGGTCAGTGAAATATGCTGTTGGTATTTTAATTGGGAGTGCATTGAACTTACAGATTGCTTTGGGAAGTATGGACATTTTGATGATGTTGATTCTACCAATCCATGAAC